GACACAGCAGAGGTGACCGGGCCCGGTGCCACCGCGACCCCAGAGCCATCCCGACCCTGGAACTGGCGGTGCCGGGTCCGCACCACGCCTGGATTTTTGGGAGGCACAAGGAGAGAATTCCACGGCCTCTCCCCTGCGCTCCGCCGGGGCTGTGCCCTCCCGGGGGGACCCTGGGGGTGGCAGGGCTGGCACCACCCAGCCACCCCCCTCTGCCAGCCCGCGGTGTCCCCCGGCGGGGACAGCGGGGACAGCGGGGCGGGATTCACCGTCCCCCCCACAGCCAGAGCGGGTGGCTCCTCGGAGGTGGCTGGAGGTGGCCTGGGGACATCTGGGGGGTGGCTCAGAGCCTGCCGGGGTGCCCCAAGCCCCGCAGGATGGGGGGCACCCCCTGCCCCCCACCCCCTGCTGCCTCCAGGGCGGGCTCGTTCCCAACGCCACGAGGAGGAGGAAGAGGAGGAGGAGGAGGAGGAGGAGGAGGATTCTCCAGGAATCCTTCAGGGCGAGCTGACAAGCGGCCACCCCCGGCGACAACAAAGCCCCGCTGTTCTCCGGGCACGGCCCGCGTGACCCGACGGGACTTTTCCATCCCCTCCCCGCCGCCAAAACCCCGAGGATGGAAGGGAAACCTCCTCCTCTTCCTCCTCTTCTTCCTCCTCCTCCTCCTCAGCAGGGCACACCCCACGCGAGCGGGGACCCCCCCACCCCCTCCACCCTCCCCCGAGACTCACCCGGGGTGCGAAGGGACCGAGCGGGACGAGGGGACAGCGAGTGGCGAGCGCGGTGGCTGCTCGGGGCCAGCGGGAGCCCCCCGGCCCCAGCCGGTCCCGGGGCCGCGGGGGGGGCGTGCCTGGGAATGGAGGGAGCAGACTGAGGGCCATTGTCTCATTGTTCGGGCTTCAAAGGACAATGGGCCATTGTTGTCCCTGGGGATCCCATTGTTTGCTTTCCCTGCAGATCCCGGCCGCGCACGGAGCTTTCCCGAGGGCCGGCTCCGTGTGTGGGACAGAACAACCAGGCTGGAATGTTTCATATCCCAAGCCTTCCTTTTTTAGGGCCGGTTTTGCCCTCCTGGAAATGCTCGGCACGGCCAGAGGGGCTGCGAGCACCCAGAGACCCCCCCAGACCCCGCAGGGATGGGATGAGAGCGGGGGGGGCTCATCCTCCATCCCTGCACATTCCAGAGTCAGGGAACAAAACCCAGCCGGGATTTCGGTGGGAAAAGGCACAAAACCCAGCCGGGATTTTGGTGCGAGGCGAATTTGCCTCCAGGAGCATCCACCGGGCAATATCCCGATTTTCCATCCCTTGGATCCTCCGAATCTCCCCGGCACGGCGGGGTTTGACTCCTCCATAGCCAAGGAAAAGCTCCCTGGTACCAGGAAAAGCGCTGGGAAGGGACAGCCCGGCCCGGAGCGCTCCTGGTGCCGCATCCCGGGGTTGATTCCCGAGGCTGCTCCCTCTGGAAAACTAAATTGAGGCGCCAAGAGAAGGCTGGGGGAGGGGGAAGGAGCAGAATTCCAGGAGCAGGGAAGGAACGAGGAAGGAGCAGAATTCCAGGAGCAGGGGAGGAATGAGGAAGGAGCAGAATTCCGGGGGCAGAATTCCAACCCCTCCGCAGCCCGAGGTGGGCCGGGGGATGGATGGAGCAGGAAAAGGGATCCACCGTGCTCAGGGACATCCTTGCTGCTCCCAACAGCCGGGAAAAGCAGGAATTCCAGCCGGGATGAGCCCCGGGAGAGGGGGACGCTCTCCATGCAGGAAATCATCCTGGAAATCAGCGGTTCCTCCCCTCCCCAGGGCTGCGACCACCCTCGGGATGAGCCCTTGGAGAGATCCCAGATCCCTGGAAGAGCCCCCCGAGCTCCTGGATCTCAGTCCCGGGGTTCAGGAGCTCCCCCGGCTCCGGAGCTTTGTCCCCACTGCCACCCGGCCCCCCCCAGCTTATCCCAAATCGGGGAGGACAAGCCCAGCCTAGGGGATAAGCCCAGGCTGGAGAGGCTCAGACTAAGCTCGATGTAAAAACAAAACAAACAAACAAACAAAACCATAAAGAAACCAACAAAATTTAAAAATCTGCGTTTAGGTTTTTTCCTAATAACAAACAAGCCAATAAAGGTGAAACTGAGCCCAGGCTGGGCTGCGGGGGGATAATCCCGGGAATTCCCAGGGATTCCCATCAGGAGACGAGGCCGGGCTTTGCCTCTCCAGCGCCTCCAAGGTGAATTTGTGGGAAAGAGGAAATTTTTTTTTTTTTTTTGGGAGGTCGGGGATCAATAGGAGCGGTTTGGGGTGGGATAATGGGTGGATTTGGGATCTGCTGCCTCCGAGCTGATCCTGCTGTGCTCCCGGGGATCCCAAAGGGATCGGGGCAGTGTCCCCATCCCATTCCCGGGGATCCCAAAAGGATCGGGGCAGTGTCCCCACCCCATTCCCGGGATCCCAAAGGGATCGGGGCAGTGTCCCCACCCCATTCCCGGG